TGAAAGACTGAGGGAGCTGCAAGGCTTCTAAAAGGACGGGAACATCATTCTTATGAAAACGAAACTCAGCCAAACACTCGCTGTCGTCCATCTCATTTAAGTCGAACGATCCATAGCAGTCATAAGGGAAATCTGGGTTTTTCGAGGTGTTTGCATCGTAAAGGAGGAGAAATTCGTCCTCGGAAATATCACCGTCATCAAAACTTTCGACAAGAAGGTTACGTATATCTCTAAAGGATGCCATACTTTCACTAAAATACTGAAAGCCCCCGAAAGCTTGTTATGAAGCCGTCCGCCTCCTCCACAGTAGATCTTAAGGTCAATTTTTCGCGCCATACGACGGCGACCTCTCCCCATTCCCCCCAGCTCACGGCCGCCGTCGTAGACACCCGCCGTCGTCGGATCTTAAGGTCCCTAGTAAGGGGAGGGGACAACTTCAGATGTCCACTTTAAGGAGCTGTTAGTTTGCTTTCACAATCACACACAGACAGCTATGTGTCACCTGATAAAGTAGCTCGCCGTGCAGAATCAAATTCTGAGCTGTGTTAAAAAAAAAACTGGATCCAAACCATTACTGAGTTTGTCATTGGGCTTCTTCTCTTCTTTCATACAATTACTGTTGCATTTTCCGTAAGTTTTATTCAAGAACTCAAAAGCATCTAACAGTGAGTGGCTTTTTCTATACATGACAAGTTAAGTAAAGAAAAGAAACTTACCTAAATGTGAACCTTTGTGGAACGGCTTTGTTCGAAGAGATCGCCAAATTTGGTGTACAGTATTGCGTATGTGTTAGTACACAGGCAACGGAAACGAAAACAAAGTTTGCAGAGCACTGGTTTTTTTGAGTGCGTGAATTCTGGCCAGAAAACTGTCGGTAGGAGCTAAGAGCAACGTTTCATCAGACATCGAGGAGTTACTGGGTTGACCTTGTCTACTCTTCCTTCTCATGTTTCTTCCTTAATTGTGAGTTTGGACCAGTTTGGAACTTATGGAGCTACACAATTTACAGGTCATGTTTAAGCCGGCAGTGTTTTTTTTTAACGTATTTTCCAGCCAACGAAATGACATTAACTTTTGATACTAATTTAGACAAACGTTACTTAGCTACAAAGGAAAATAAACAAGTACAGCCTATTTCAAATCAAACACTTCTAAAGGTAAATAAGACACTATGCGACCATTTTTTGTTGTTGTTGAAGATACTGCAGGAAATGTGAAGGACGATGACGCTGACAATGATGATGGCGAGGATGATGAGAATAGAAGTGATGACGATGATATTGATGACTTTGACGAGGACAATGACTCTAAATCAGAGGTTGACCACAAGAAGAAAGTAATGATGACCCACAGAAAGAAAAGCGTTGGACACTGCTGAAGAAGGATCGCCTAAGAAGAAGGTTTGCTCTGAATTCATTTACATTCCTACAAATTCAAGTCTGGCCTGGCAAAAAGTTGAATGAAAATGGTCTCATGTATTTGATAAGCTGACCGAATTGGAATATTTGAAATCCTTTTGCTATTTTTTGGATATTTTTTTACAGCGCTTGAAACACATGGACTGACAATTTACCTCTCGAAAGACCTTGAAGATCACACGAAACTCAAAAGATTTATTATTGCGTATCCTTTGAAATACCTTTTTGTCTAATTTAATAAAAAATGAGCTGGGAAAACGTGTATCGCTTTAGACGACAGCGCACGGAACCACACGTTTCTGTGTTTTCTACCAAAATAGGATTCACAATGTTTTGAATCCGCACTCAGCTTGAACTCAGCGGATTTATTTCAAATTGGAATCAGCCTCGCATTATGAATCAGTGTTGCTTTAGGTAGGTATTTGAAGAGAAAAATTCGCGCTTGAATCTTGGCCAGCGGAATGCGAAATGTACCATGTTTCTGTACCAAACTATGGTACAGCTACCACGGTAAACGCAGCATAACCACCGCTTTTGCAATTTTTCCCGCGCTTTTTATCTGCTGCGCTATACTATCATAAGCTTTGATCTATAAAACAGGACAATTTTTTAACCATTCTTAACATGACTGGATTTTAGTTATGACGGAGATTTGGCGAAAGATTTGAAAAGACCAGTGCAACACATATTGTAAGCAACAACAGGGTAAGCAGATGAAGTCTAATTTGCGCACTTTTACTTTTTGTGTTAAAATACAAGGCTGCGAAGAGCCGGGATCCTATTTACAAATTTTTGTAGGCCTTTATTGGACCGGTGTAGAAACGAAAAGACAAATTGCAACAAAAATGAGACTAAAAAGAAAGAAAGAAAAACGGAAAAAAAAAATGTAAAGAGGGTAGAGGGAAGAAACCCAAAATACAAGCGTGTTTAAACACACAATTATTAGAAAAGTTAATAAAGTAAAAAAACAAAACAAAACAAACAAAAACAAGTAAAAAAAAGTTATACATTTAACAATGAAAGCACGCTGATCAAAACATGCACGACCAGTCTGTTTTAGTCTCCGTTGCAGCCGGCCCTGCACGCACTTGATAAAAACGAATGAGAATTAAACATCTCAATTCTTGACACGTACCATAATAGTACTAATTTAAATTTGTAAAAAGGATTACAGTCAACTCTCTCTAAGACGCACACCTTTAGGACTGGCACTAGCTGTCCGTCTTAGAGAGATGTCCGTCAAATAGAGGGAGGAAAGAAAGGCTGGGACCAACTCTAGGTGTCCGTTTTACAGAGGTGTCTGTCTTACAAAGGTGTCCGTTAAGAGAGAGTCGACTGAATCAGGAGAGCACTTCACCGCGGTGTCGGTAAAAAATGACAACTACGGACAATTCAGATGCTGATTGTTGCACTTTAGTTTCGCTAAAAACAAATTCTACATTACCTATCCCCTCACTCATGCTTAGAAGGTTAATCAGTTTTCCACTTTTAGTGAAACTAAACCGAAGAATACAATCAGGGTCACGGTTTTCTTTGGTGCTGTTCCTGAAGGATTGAATCGAATGTTTCACTGAATCCCTGGATTTCAGTACTAAACTTCGTTTCAACAGAGTTTCAGTTTTTCTACGTCGTCTTTTTTCTGTGAGAGAGATTCCAGTGATTTTGTCGCTTGATTATTGACTGCATCAAAGGCATCTTGTTTTCTCGCTTCGATGATCACAATAATTTAATTTGTCTACACAAGACTGCACTTGGCATTTTACCTCGGTCTTTGGATTGAAATTGCGATGCTTTTTTGGTTGAATTGTTCGACTTCCTTTTGTTTTTCCAGTACTTTGTCTGTCAAAGATTTTATCACGGACCTGATCTTTTTTTTGAGTGCGTCGGTAGCTTCTTGCAAAGGCATCTTAACATGACCTTCAAGGCACCTCGCACGCTGGATTATACTGTATAAGTTAATTAACACACCTTGGTCTTGGAAAAACAGTCACTGTTATACTTCACTGCACCTTCAAACCCTCTGTGGTTGGAAGTCTAAGCTTGCATGGCCCAAACGCCCACAGAAACTAAAGATTTTAATAGTGAAAATTTTCTGCAACTGCCATTTTTTCTGGACCATTTTGTTGGACAATATATATCAGAGATGACTTGGCCGAAGGTTGATTAATTAACGTATTTGCTGGAGACACGCAGATTAACGACCACATTCTTGGACAAAATAGACGGAAAATTAATCCGTTCTCTCTCCTATTAAATAAAGGGTGAGGAAATGACGCTTTTTGTCAGGATTTAAGGATAAAGCTCCTTCATTCCTACTTTCGACTTTCTTGACCACCTCGCGCTGAAATGTTTTCCGGCAATTTATCCATGCTTCAAAGAGCTGATTAACAATTCTCGGAAATACATTTGATGGTTTTTATTCTTCAGTCAAACCACCAAAACATGTCAAGAAACTCTATTTGATTGGTTAATAATACAGTGTTTAGTCTGGGTCACAAAACAAGACTTCATTGTTCATTCGCAAAGCCATTCTCTTGAAGCTTCTTGATCGCCAACAACTAGAGGCCAAAATTTTAAAAACGTAACCTTGCTTCCGACCTTTTCCATGGATATAAAGACCTTGCTCGACAATCTTCATGATGAAGTATCCTGTTCCGTGTGTATGTGTACATTCACTGATCCAAAGCAGTTGCCTTGTTTGCACAGTTTCTGTCTTCACTGCTTGAACGAAATTCAACGAACAAGCGGCGTCCATGGCAAAATTACATGCCCCGAGTGCAGAAGACAGTTTCAGATTTCTGGAAGTGGAACTCCCAGCGAACTTCCCACCAATTTTCGAATAAACAGCCTGCTAGATGTCTTAGCAATAAAAGAGTGTAGTACAGCTAACGTGAAGTGTGGAAACTGCGATAAAAGGAGTTCTCAGACCTCGTATTGTTTCCAGTGTTGTTCCTTTTGGTGCGAGAAATGCATTTTAGGACATGACATAATGCGTGCTAACAACAAACACAGAACGCTAGCACTAAAAGATTTTCAAGATCAAGACATCAAGGCTGTATTAGAGCGACCAGCATTTTGTCAGAAGAAACACCATGAAAAAGAAGAGCTGAAATTCTTTTGCAAGGGCTGTAAAGTCGCCATTTGTAGCACTTGTGCTGTAACACTTCATGAAGGTCATGGTAAGATGCCTTTGCAAGAAGCTACTGATGAGCGCAAAACACAGATTAGCTCCATGATAAAATCTTTAAAAGACAAAGTACTGGAAAAACAAAAGGAAGTGGAACAATTCAACCAAAAAAGCATCGCATTTCAATCGAAGGTAGCCGAGGTAAAAAGCCAAGTGCAGTCTTTTGTAGACCAAACTATTGCAATCATCGAAGCGAAAAAACAAGATGTTTTTGATGTGATTGATAATCAAGCGACAAAATCACTAGAATCTCTCTTACAGAAAAAAGGCGAAGTGGAAAAACAAGTGAAATTAATTGAATCAGCAATTGGAGAAACTGAAACTCTGTTAAAACGAGGTTTTAGTTCTGAAATCAAGGGATCCAGTGAAACATTTGATTCAATCCTGCAGGAACAGAGCACCAAAGAAAACCGTGACACTGAATGTATTCCTCGGTTTAGTTTCACTAAAAGTGAAAAACTGATTAACCTGTTGAGCATGAACGAGGGGATAGGTAAAGTAGAATTTGTTTTTAGCGAAACTAAAGCGCAACAATCAGGAGCTAAAGGTAAAGAAAGTAGTAAAGTAGTTGCTGGGGATAAAGGGGCAAATTTTTGTGAAAGTCCTTTTAAGGCTCAGGTAAAAACGAGGCACTTCAGATCTGTGCTGTCATTTGGACAAAAAGGTGAGTCTGTTGGAATGCTTAACATGCCCTATGGGGTGGCAGTGAATGATCAGGATGAAATTGCTGTGACTGAGCTCGGTAACAACAGGGTTTCAGTGTTTAGTAGTGACGGTACCCACTTAAGATCCTTTGGTAGGAAGGGTAAGAATAATGGTGAGTTCTATTGCCCTACAGGGATCGCTTTTGATAGTCATGGCAATATTGTAGTGGCAGACTGTTATAATCACAGGGTGCAAGTCTTTAATCGGAATGGCAACTTTCTTAGTATGTTTGGTCAACAAGGAAGTCGTGATAATCAGCTTGAGTTCCCTCGAGGTTTATCAATAAACGGCAACGGTGATATTATTGTTGCTGATAAGGGTAACAAATTAATCAAGATATTCTCTTCTAGTGGGGAGTATTTACGTAAATTTGGTGGAGCAGGTTCTTTGGTCACTCCCTATCACTGTATTCAGCACGGTCAATATTTTATAGTCTCAGATCGTGGTGATCATTCCATAAAAATGTTTAATCTGGAGGGAAAGTTTATTACTAAATTTGGAAAACAGGGAATCAAAGATGGAGAATTCAATGAGCCCCGTTACTTGTCAGTAAACAAAAAAGGATTGCTTATGGTCTGTGATGAAGAGAATCACAGAGTTCAGGTAGTTGATCTGAGTGGAAGGTTTGTTACAAAGTTTGGACGTGAAGGTAGCGGGAGAGGAGAGTTTAAGTGTCCAGTGTCTACAGCAACTCTTAGTGATGGAAGGATAGTTGTGTGTGATAAGGAGAACAACCGAATCCAGGTGTTTGACCAGTTATAATATGATCTTTCCAGTGGTATTATTGTTGAAACGTTCAAATTGGCTTCTTTATCTAGAAAAAGAAACCGTAACTTTTCGAACAACATCCTGAATTCGTGAGGTATTTGTCACTGTTGCCGGGTGGGGGCATTAGGTTGTCCTCACGCGTAGTTTGTCTTTTCTGTGAATGTAACAATAAATTATAAAATCATGGCTGTAACAATAACTGTAATAATAGCTGAGGTGACATTCAAATTGTAAATATATTTTGTAATCCTTTTTCAAATATATCGTATAGTCTCATTTAATTGCCGATCAGGGGTAGTTTAATAAGGTTGTTCAATTTTTTGGTATCCAAATTGTTTTGTATGTTGTACACCTTTTCATTTTCTTTCCAGCAGTTGCTAGTTGTTAGCTAGTGTATTTTTGGAAGTATTTTTCCCGCGCCCTCAGCTCAAATACCATGGTTTTTTTTTCGCATCAGGATCTTCAGGTTCGTTAAATTATCACATATATATTTACTGAATTGTATAACGGTTTGTTGAAAATGCATTAAAGGATAATCAAATATGAAGAATGTTTTCTTACTTCAAATTTATCGTTGTTAATGAGACCGTCATGTGTTGACGTTAAACGTACCAGTACCTCATTCAAGTGTAAAATAATGTATTTAGCACGCTTGTCTCGGAGAATGGACCATCATTATATGTCCAGTAATCATCCGAGCCGCGTATAGATATACCAAGCAGTTTGTAGGACAAGGCAGCACAGCGAACCCTCTTTAATCAAAAAACCGGAAAATCATCTTTTTTCCGATTTTTTCACCTGATTTTACATTAAATGCCCAGATTTGGTTCTTTTATGACGAAAAGCAGATTTTTGTCAAATTGCTTGGTACTTTTTGCTCGAGGACAACCGCTTAATTAATATAGACACCTCATTTTTTGTCCCTGGGGAAAAAAAGCCCTTACACAGTTTTCTCTTAATTCAACCCCCTTTATACGGACATTTTCGTCTCATTCCAATCTTTTTTCAAGAAGACTATCGGTAGCCACTGTTTGGACCTACATTTACAAAAGCAAAACCGTTTGCTTTGTAGATAAAACAGGGCGTGGCTGGTCACGTGATGCAGTTATAAACAATTTTTTCAAATAAACTTTAAAGATTTCTTAGTTATGATTAGCCTTAATTTATCAGACCTGGCATACGGTAAAATTCCGAAAATAAGCCCCGGGGCTTATATTTTTCAAAGGCCCTTTTTGAGGAGCTTATTTTTTGAGGGGCTCGTCTACGGAGGGAAATATGCGTTTCAAAATCGATTGGGCTAGCCTTATAGTTGGAAGTAAATTTACGATTTTTGCTTTGTTTTACTTTGTATTTGAGGGCAATTTTCCTCTGAGTACAAACCCCGGGGGAGCTTATATTTGGAGGGGTGATTTAACGGAGGGTTTTTTTGCGTCACAGGAATGGGGGGCTTATATTTGGAGGGGCTTATACATGGAGGGGCTTATTTTCGGAATTTTACGGTATCTTAAAGCAAAGTTACATTTGACCACCCCCCTTCAAAATTCTGAGGAATTTGTAAAGAACCAAGCCTTAATCAATTTGAGCCGTCAGGTGCTTTGAGATTGGTCAAAATTTGCTAAATGATGTGCTCGTGGACATGTGCTCTATCCTCGCCGATATTGCTTATTACCATCTTAATAGCTAGAATTGAAAGCCTAAGGGGTCCAGGGAGAATAATATGCATGGGTCCATATGGACCCAAAACGACCAAAGCGGACGACAAAGAGTTTTATTAAGCAATAGACCACACTTTCTATGGGCTTACCGGCGTAATAATCCCCTCAGCACGTGATTTACAAGCTTTTCGAGTGTTCTCCCAACATCCCGCGTGGGTTATCACACCGGTAAACCCATAGAAAGTGTGGTCTGTTGCTTTTATAAAATAACTTTAAGTTTTCTATGAGTTTACCGGCACAATAAACCATAGGTTTTTAACCAATCGGAACGCGCTTACTATCTTAGTTATTTTATAAAGGTAGATATCTGTTAAATCTACTACAAACACTTCAGTTCAGTGCATGGACTACAAGATGTACGCAAGTGTAACCTGCGTAGCAAGCGCATGAAGGGGAAGGGAGAGAAAGGACATGGAAGCAGATAAGGTTATCTCCCCTACCCTACCCTCTCCTCTTTTCCTTATCTTATCTGTTTAGCAATACACAGGGTTCCTTATAGCAGGAGTCTTTTTAATCCCCTCCCCTTCTTCCTACTCGTCCCCTTTTTATGTTCTCCACATAGGTTAACCCTATGGTATCCTTGAGCAATAGTTACTTGTCAGGTTATCCTTTCACCTTAACTCATCCACGTCTGCTCCTCTATCTCTTTTGAAGGTATCCATATAGGTCGTATAGATCGAGGGTCTAATCGGTCGTCGCTTACAATACCTTGGGCTTTTGTCGTCCAATAGTTAGAGACGAGCTGTAATGAATTTTTAAAATTATTATTTATAAATGACGAGCGATTTTGTGTAGGACTCCTCTAAAGTTCCATCATGGCTAAGTGTTCATCGCAGTTTAGTTCCTGACTTCCTTGTTACAGATCCAAAGGTACAAGCTTAATTACTGGATAATTATCAACTACTATGAGTTTTATAAAGAACGTTTCTTCACTCTAAAATGAGGAATAACACTTCCGATGGAATAGGTTGTCGTAGTGGAATAAGAGGTAGCAAATTGAATTTGAAATGCACATAACTACTCGAAGCCTGGAAACACGTACTTCCATCAGAAGAAAAGCTTAAATAGGAACATCAGTTCCTTAACAAAGAAACGCCACTAGCCACAACTAGTCCTAAATAAGAAATTTGCGACTCTGTGATAGAGAAAATTGCCGTAAGTTCGCGCGAGTTCCATTGTCTCTACCGCGAGTAGCGAGGTCGCTGGCCGCAAAAATTCCCTTGCAAGACGGCTTAGACATTGGAAAGCCCTCTCGTCAGACGGGAAAGTACATTCTGACTTACATTTTTGTTTCTGTAGAAAGCCAAGGAGATAACAGGAGCAGAGTTTAGTACCCCTCTTAGTACATCAACCAATCACACATGCAAGTGACGGCAACCTTGCAAGCCTCTAGCGATAGCCAATAAAAGAGGCGTCTGCCTTTTAGAGAGTAATGGTAGGAGACTAATTAATATTTCCAGAGTTTTAATGAGCTCTTAGTTTGCTTTCACAATCACACACAGGCAGCTGGCTCGCTTGTTCAAAAATGCGCCTGCGCTTATTGTAGGCCATGTGTCACCTGATAAAGTAGCTCGCCGCTGGTCCCTTGCGCTTTGTCACCAGTCACTCGCGTTTGGCGCTCGCCTCTATGAGAAACCGTGGGAAAATTAAAAACGAAGGGCCTGGGGAGGAGGCTGAGCTCGCCTTGAATCAAATTCCGAGTTGTATTAAAAAAACTGGATTCGAACTCTTGCTGAGCCTTGTCATTAGCCTTCTTCTTCCCGTTTTGGGTAAAACTGGTTCGGGATAATTTAGGTTCTAATCCCCCTCAGTTTGCAAATGAATTTACTGCAGGAAATTCTAATTAGAAAAAGTATAAGATAACTCCTTAATTCTTTTAATCATTTTTGTCAAATTCCTAAGATAATCATTAATTTCACCTATATCCAGAAATGTACATGACTCGGTTCCTCCAGGCACTTCACTTGACTTCACTTTGATTCCTTGTAATTTTCATATATTTGACTTCATGTTTCAAAGAACTACTTGCATTTGGATGACGATAACCACTAGGATAGGGGAGACTTTGTGATGTCTTTTCTCTCTGTTTGGGGGGAAAAAATCGCGAGGAGAGGGAAGGGAAAGGGGGACTGAAGAGGGTTTTTTCCCTTTTCCCTCTCCCCAGTTCCCCGCTCGACTGAAAGCCTGTTCACAGTCAACAGGAGATGTGATTTGATTAGATATGTTTCAACGCCTCTGTGGTTGGAAGTCTATCAAGCTTGGCTCAAAAGGCCCACAGAAGTTTAAGAATCAGTAAACATTTTCTGCAACTACCTTTTTTTCTGGAGGATTTTGTTGCGCAGTATTAAGGAGACTTGACCGAAGGTTGATTAATGTATTTGCTGAAAACAATCATATTAACGAGCACTATCTTGGACAAAATTGATGGGAAATAAATCCGTCCTCCATCCTGTAAAATAAAAGATGGGGAAATGGCGCGTTTTGTCTTTCGCGTGGCTTTTTTGCTTCTGATTTTGGGCCAACGAGGACTTTCTTTCCCAGTTAATATCTGTCCAAGAATTGTACCCGTGTGTAATGTTCTGAGTGTTCTGGTGTTCACAAATATTCAAAAACTTTCAGTAGTCCATTCTTTTATAGCCTGCTTAGCAATTTTTCCGAACGATTTTTATATAGGGAGAGAAAGCTCTATCAAAGAGCTGATTAACAATTCTCGGAAATACAGGATGTTATTTATTCTTCCGTCACACCATCAAAACATGTCAAGAAACGCTATCCAAGGATTGTAGGCGTGTGTTCATAATGTGTTCAGTGTGCCTACGTGTAGGGGAGGGTGCAGCTACACATAGGTTAGTTGAATGTACACAAATATTAAAAAAATTTCAATAGTCAATGCTTTAGTCTGCTAAGCAAATATTTCCGAACGATTTAGGGAGAGAAAGATTCTTCATTACTCTTTTTTGCCCTTGCTTCCACTTTCTTGACGACGACCACGCGCGGAAACCCTTGACTTGACAGCAGGTTCAATACCTATTGGCTATACTACAAAGCTGGTTAACAATTCACGGAAATACAGGAAGTTTTTTATTCCTCCGTCAAACCATCAAAACATGTCAAGAAACTCTATTTCATTGGTTAATAATACAGAGCCGGTTTAGTCTGGGTCACAAGACAAGACTTCATTGTTCATTGGCAAAGCCATTCCCTTGTTCATCAACAACTAGGCCAAACTTTTTAAAAAGTAACCTTGTTTCCCACCTTTTCCATGGATATCAAGACGTTGCTGGACAATCTTCATGATGAAGTATCCTGCTCTGTGTGCATGTGTACATTCACTGATCCAAAGCAGTTGCCTTGTTTGCACAGTTTCTGTCTTCATTGCCTGAACGGAATTCAACGAACGAGCGGCCTCCATGGAAAAATTACATGCCCCGAGTGTAGGAGACAGTTTCAGATTTCTGGAAGTGGAAATCCCATCGAACTTCCCACCAATTTTCGAATAAACAGCCTGCTAGATGTCTTGGCAATAAAAGAGTGCAGTACAGTCAACGTGAAATGCAGAAACTGCGAGAAACGGAGCTCCCAGACCTCGTATTGTTTCCAGTGTTGTTCCTTCTGGTGTGAAGAATGTATTGTAGGACATAACATAATGCGAGAAAATAAAGATCACAGAACGTTAGCGCTGAAAGATTTTCAAGATCAAGACATCAAGGCTGTTTTAGAGCGACCAGCATTTTGTCAGAAGAAACACCATGAAAACAAAGAGTTGGAGCTTTTTTGCAAGGACTGTAAGGTCGCCATTTGTAGCGCTTGTGCCATGACACTTCATGATAATCATGTCAAGATGCTTTTGCAAGAAGCTACAGATGCCCGCAAGGCACAGATCAAATCCACTATTAAATCTTTGAAAGACAAAGCACTGGAAAAACGAAAGAAAGTAGAAAAAATGAACCAAAAGAGCATCGAACTTCAATCGCAAGTAGCCGACGTAAAAAGCCAAGTGCAGTCTTTCGTAGACCAAATTATTGCGATCATCGAAGCGAGGAAGCAGGATGTTTTTTATGTGATTGATAATCAAGCGAAAAAATCACTGGAATCTCTGTCACAGAAAAAAGACGAAGTCGACAAACAAGTGAAATTAATTGAATCAGCAATTGAACAAACTGAAAATCTGTTGAAACGAAGCTTTAGTACTGAAATCCTGGGATTCAGTGAAACATTTGATACAATCCTGCAGGAACAGTGCAGTCAAGAAAACCGTGACACTGAATGTATTCCTCGATTTAGTTTTACTAAAAGTGAAAAACTGATTAACCTTTTGAACATGAGCGAGGGGATAGGTAATGTAGAATTTGTTGTTAACGAACCTAGAGCGCAACAATCGGGAACTAAAGGTAAAGAAAGTAGTAAAGTAGTTGCTGGGAATCAAGGGGCAAATGTTTGTGACAGTCCTCTTGAGACTCAGGAACAAACCAGGCGCTTCAGATCTGTGCTGTCATTTGGACAAAAAGGTGAGTCTGTTGGAATGCTTAACACTCCCTGGGCTGTGGCAGCGAATGATCGTGATGAAATCGCTGTGACTGAGTTCAATAACCACAGGGTTTCAGTGTTTAGTAGTGACGGTACCCACTTAAGATCGTTTGGTAGGAAGGGTAAGAATAATGGTGCGTTCCAGTTCCCTACAGGGATCGCTTTTGATAGTCTTGGCAATATTGTAGTGGCAGAGAATAATAACCACAGGGTGCAAGTCTTTGATAGGACTGGTAACTTTCTTAGTAAGTTTGGTAAACAAGGAAGTGGTGATAATCAGCTTAAACACCCTGAAGGTTTATCAATAAACGGTAACGGTGATATTATTGTTGCTGATTGGAAAAACAAATTAATCAAGATATTCTCTTCTAGTGGGGAGTATTTACGTAAATTTGGTGGAGCAGGTTCTTTGGTCTCTCCCATTCACTGTATCCAACACGGTCAATATTTTATAGTCTCAGACGCTGGTGATCATTCCATTAAAATGTTTAATCTTGAGGGAAAGTTTATTTCTAAATTTGGAAAACAGGGAAACAAGGATGGAGAATTCAATGAGCCCCGTTACTTGTCAGTTAGCAAAGAAGGATTGCTAATGGTCTGTGATGCAAATAATCACAGAGTTCAGGTATTTGAACTGAGTGGAAAGTTTGTCACAAAGTTTGGAAGTGAAGGTAGTGAGAGAGGAATGTTTAACTTTCCAAGGGCTACAGCAAGTCTTGGTGATGGAAGGATAGTTGTGTGTGATAAGGAAAACAACCGAATCCAGGTTTTTGACAAGATATAATATGATCTTGATTACCAGTGGTATAATTATTGTTGAAAAGTTCAAATTGGTTTTGTAGAATAAGAAACCGTAATTTTTCGAACAACACCATCTCGTGAGGTATTTGTCACTGTTGACCTTTT